CTGTTTTTTCCACATATGCTTTTTAGCAACACACACGTAGAAGACTTTAGGCAAGCAACTACCTACTGCAGCCTACTTCTTCTTCCAGGCAGTTCTGGGTTGCTATGTGGGGAGTGGACACCTTGCTGGAGCAGCAGGGTTTTCTTCCCACCTTTTCCAACTGCATAATGTGGTTTTGGAAAATGGAAGGAAACTAGCACCTGAGGATTGTAATATTAATTTTGAGCGCCCCAGAAGCTATTTCTTACCATTGTTCACGTTTGCATCTCTTTTCTTCACAAATGCATCTAGGTGTTCTTTGACATGAAGATTGGAGACAGAGATGTTGGCAGAATTACAATTGGGTTGTTTGGAAAGGTTGTCCCAAAAACGGTGGAGAACTTCATCGTGCTGGCAACTGGAGAAGTAGGTTTACAGTTTTCTTCCGTTGTGTGCTAAAGTTTGGAGTGGGGAATGAATATTTAAATGCCATTTTGGTTGTGAAATGTCCACTTCAACTCAGTAGAGTCAGTGCAAGAGTGCCATTCCTGAGGCCATGCTCTGCTGTGTGAGACACAGAAGTCCTTGCAGATTGATTCACAAGATGTCACTTGGGCTGGCTGTCAGCACCATGGTGTGTCCCTGCCCTCTAGATGTGCCATGCAGAGGCACTGTGGTCAGTACTGGTCAAACAGACTTCTACCCTGGATGCAGCATCTCACTGCTGTTTGTTTCTTGCCAGCCTTTGGGTCAAGTGGTGATATGTTCTCTGAAAGCTGACCACTCACCATGTGCACATTTCCATATGATCGTACAGAACTGTGTGTTGCATTCATTATTTCATTTTCTTAGAGAGGATATGGATACAAAGGAAGTAAATTTCATCGTGTGATCAAAGACTTCATGATTCAAGGAGGAGACTTTACAGCTGGAGATGGATCAGGAGGTAACATGCTTTCTTTTGGCTTCTCTCGTTTCTTTGTGGGTCTACTGAAAAGATGGATGAAAGAGCATTTTCCTTTTTTCTTTCAACTCCCATAAACAAGAAAAAAACATTTATTTTAGAAACAGGTAGTTTCTTGGAAGATAAGAGGCACAAATGTGGGTTATCAAATAAAAGTATGTGTAGACCTTCCTTCATCCTCAGCTTCTGCAGATAGTCCTTTCTGTCTATGACTTTCCTCAGTCAGGAGCCTGGTTTTGCACAGCAGGCTGCATGGCAAGCCCTTTGAGCAGCTGAGCAGCTCCTACAGCCATCTCCACCATTCCCCTGTTCTGCTTTGCAACAGCACTACTTCCCTGATTGCATGTGGACGTGAACCAATTCAAGTCACCCAGCAGCGAACTAATCTGCAGCAAAGCACTTAGAGGGAAGGCAGGTAGGGAACGAGTAGTCTCACCTCCCTTGTCCTCAGTTCAGCCATTTCTGTGGAACATTCTGAAAAGTGCTGCAGGAGGGAAATCCAAAGCAGGGACAGAGAAATTGAAATGAGTGTCTTGCACTCTCTCTTTTTTCTTCTACTAAATTTATAACTGCCTCCTGAACCTCCAGAAGATCACATCAGCCAGTTCAGGAGAGCAGTCCTAGTGCAGCATCTCTTGCATTGCATGCATTCTGGCCTGATTTCTTCTCTTCCTTTACACGCATGTTCATCAGGTGCTACGATTTGAACTGTCTGCGTGCAGTGTTAGTGATTTCCCCGCTGGGACAGAATGGAAAACGTATTCCTTTTCCTTGCAGCAAACAGTGGGGAAGGCTAAAATACCAAAGACACAATTTTAGCATTAAAGGTAGGCAGTGTTTGTTTGCCTGCTAGTACTGTTTGTTGGGATAGCTAGTGGTGGTTTGGTGGGCCAGCATCCTCATAGGCACTGTGCAAACAGAGAGTGCAGCAGCATTTTCTTTTCAAAGTTACAGTAGTTTAATCATTACTAATGTTTTCTTTCTCTTTTAAAACACCAAAATTGTTACGTAATGTTTCTACAGATACACATGGAGCCTGTGACACTAGCTTCCCTAATTCTCATAAACTTGTCTAAAGCAAAATACAAAAGTATACTATGCATAAAGTGTTACAGAAATAACAAAATTGCCACAAAACATGGCTACCTTATTTTTAGTGGCTATAAAGATTTGAATTTGCTGAGATGAAGTATCACTGCTGCTCAGTGATGTATTTTAGTAGGATCTTTGAACTGAGTTTGCTTGTTAAATTCAGAGGCTAAAGCATCACTGGCTTTAAATATTCTTTCCATGTATCTGGTGTTTTAGTTCACCTTATTCTTTTCTCTACATACAAAATCTTTTCAGTTACTGAATCACAACAGTGATGTTGGGCTTACTCAAATGATGAATCTTTAAGTCTCGACTTTGTACTCATTTCATTTTTTAACAAGATTGTGGGTTGTTTGCTTTTTTAAAAAAAAAGCCCAAACTTTTTTTTATGTCACAGGAAGAAGCATTTATGGGAAAAGGTTTCCAGACGAGAACTTCAAGCTCAAACACTATGGAATTGGATGGGTTAGCATGGCTAATTCTGGACCAGACAGCAACGGATCCCAGTTCTTTATCAGTGTGACAAAGCCTTCCTGGTTAGATGGAAAACATGTAGTATTTGGCAAAGTCCTTGATGGAATGGTAAGCTGAAAGTAAATATTCTCCTGCATTATATTAGTGTAACTTAGAGCCATCTTGAACAGCTGAGTGTTAATCTAATGTGTATTTGGTAGAAAACGGATGTGAAGAACTTGAAGCTAGGAGATTTAGAACTGAAATACCAAATGATGGATGACTGCAGAAGTAGAAACTGAAAACATCTCTTTGGCCTCTTGCTTCAGACCACTAGCCAACGGAGTCAATACTGACAACTTTGCAGACTGCAGAGTTAAGTTCAGATCCCCCTGTTGTAATCCTGTTAGCCATGAAATAATTACATTTCTGCAAGCTGTAGGTAACTCTTTAGTTGTTAGGGCACATGAGTGTGAGGTATACAAACATATATCAGAACTGTATAAAAAGGAAACAAATGATAGTCAGTACCCTCCACATGTACACAGCAGCAAAACTAATCAAGTGCATCACTGCAAGGACCAAATAGTATATAAGTTCAGAAGTGTTATTTCCCACTGATTATATACTTCTCCTTTTAACTCCATGTAACTTATTACTCCATTTAATCTATATTTTGAAATGAGTGGGGAAACATGACCTGCTGCATCAGTCAGGTCTTTGAGGAGTTTGCAGACCTCATCAGAACATTTCCCCTCACATCCCATCCTGAGTATCGAATTCAATTCTTAGGAGCTTAGTTGTTGAAAAAAAAAATTGAAGAGAGATTTAAACTAAGTTTTAGTCTAATTAGATGAACTGGCAGATACAAAAAATGAGACTCAGTATTTCTAACTGAATTTTGTCCTTTAGAAATAACTACTTTGATCTGTTGCCTAATACATATAAAGGTAGAAGCCGTCACCAGGAGCCCTCGGCTGCTTGCTGTGTTCCAGACTTGAGCCACTGGAGCTTCGTTGATCCAACTGATCTGTGCTTTATTTTTTACAGTCTGTGGTGCACTTGATAGAACTTCAGCAGACAGATGAACATGACCGCCCTCTTCATGACTGCGTGATTGTGAACAGTGGCAAAATAGCTGTAAAGGAACCATTCGTAGTGGAAGTAGATGACTGGTGAGACCAGTACTTGGAGTGGAAAGTACAATGTAATCCTTTGAGGTCTAAGTTTTTTTGACTGATCTCAATTATCTATTGAGTTTTCTCCTTAAAACACATTAAGCTATATGCAGGTGATGCTCCTAAGTTGCCAGCTACATAAAGATAGGGCTGTGTGTAACAGCTGGACGGGGCTGTCAGGCCTTAGAACTCAGGACAAAGCCTGCACGTTCCTAGAGCTTACTGAAAATCTCTCATGAAAACCTGTAGAAGTACTTCCTTTTCTCAAAGCCTGAAATAGTCATTTTGTTTTCTTTGGAAATTTTCGCAATATTTGTTACTGCCTTTTAACTGAAAATGTTATTTTTTGTAGAAGTATCTACTTCTTTTAAATACATGTATCTGGGGAAAAAAAGTAAAATAAAGAAATGTTTTGAATAAATAAACTTTGATTTCAAATAATTAATGAAGAATGTTTTTTTTTCCCTTCCCTTTTTGCTTTCTTCCCACTTCATTTGAGTCTGCAAACCATGCAGAGGTGCTGCTTTTCAGATGAGGTTTCAAGATTTGAGGAGGGTGGCAAATTTCCTTAATGATGTGTCAGATGAAGTTCTACTGTCTTTCAAAAAAAGCAGTGCATTCAGATGACAATCCTTAATCAGGAAGGAGAAGGTCTGTCTCACTAAGTATGATCGTCAGTTAGAAACTGGACAGTCTTAGAGGTCTTTTCCAACCATGGTGATTCTATGATTTTAGGAAGGTTGCGTCTAAATTTGCCTACTATTAGGCAATCAGACTACTATTTTACATCCACTCAGTTTCTGCTATTTATTTATTTTTTCCTAACCTTTGCAGGTAAAAATCTGCAAAGAGTCTGGGAAATGAAGTCTGGAAGGAAAAGCAACAGTTTCTCATATTCTCTCATCTGAACTGCTTTCCACACATACCTGAAAGCTTTCCTGGAGGTGGATCCCTCTGGCAGGAAAGCAAGGTCTGTCACATGGACAAGTCTTACAGTCACAGTTGATTTTTTAAGCGAATCCAAACTTTTCACTATTTTCAAGCAGCTTTAAGGCAGGTTTTGTAGGCAGCAGGAGGCAATACATGTGCCTCCTGGATCAGAGTTCTGGTAGTGCCTAGCTTTGCAGTTACTGATTTTGTGTCTTTGTCCAAGTTCAGTTTCCCTATTCAAGTGTAATGTATTCAGATAGCAAGTGTGGTACTGTGAGTTTTAAATGGACAGGCAAATAATATGTTCTTGTGCATCATGTGAAGATGTGATGACCTCTTTGATAACCTCTGAAAAATGTCTTATTTGAACAGAAATGCACAACAAAATACACTGAAGCAGAACATCCACACTCTAGTAATTTATTTTGTAATCTCCAGAAGCACACAATTTCCAGTTAAATCTGAATATATATACACACAAGTATATATATATTTATGAGTTTTGCCACGTTATACTACTTAATCAAACTTTAGCTTACCACAGAGTTGTATGCTCTGTGACTCATAAAATGTTAAGATACAGAATACAGTCTGCAAAATAAAGAGTAAGAATGCACACATTATATGTCATAACTGAATGAGGTGCATAAATGCCATGCAAGATCCCCCAGTAGATAGTATAATTGTGACTGAAATCTGGACAATTTTCTAGAAGAGAATTATGTATTTCAGAACATAAAAAGCATGATTTCTCATGGCAACTGCACATACCCGTGTTGGCTCTTTTCCAACCAATAATTAAGAAGCAAATTGAAAATAACTTAAGAAAAATACTCAGCAAATTCCTCAGTTTTTCGTGCACTCACTTAAGTGCCAGCACTTTCAATCCATCCACTGCCAGCAATGGGCCCATGTGCTGAGAAAAAGCCTCGTGCAAAAAGATTTAGTGTAATTTAGGATAGAAACAGTAGAAAATATTAGTACAGCTTTTAATTCTTTTCAAAGGGTAATGTACCTCAGTGTATGACATTCGGCTTGTAGTGTTAAATAGTTACAGAGAGTCTTATCAACAAGGTATAACTACCTTCTGTATGGTTGTTTCCATATCTTTTTTAGAGCAGCAACAGTACTGACACTGATTAAAAAAAAAAAAGTAACACATAAAGTTAAGCCGAGGTTGTGCCTCCTGATTTTGAGCACAATAATCCTTCTTACTAATTTGATTAAATGTTACTTGGAGACTTGCTTCAGCTTCTTCTAGCCATGTATCTCTTCTACCTTGGCAGTAAATGAGGATAAAATATTCCATGTAGAATGCCTTCTATAACCACATTTGGAAAGTTATCTGAAAAAAAGACAGAAAACCTGGCTTTGTTATCTGTGTCAGTACAGGACAGGTATTGTTGTCAAATTTAACTGGTTAAAGCCTGGTCTAATCCGTGTTACTGCATCACTGAACTGCTTATCCATGTTGGGGATGTGCTATTAGTAGTGCTGTTTCAGCACTAAAGCCACCTCAGTGCAGCACCAAGCATTGCATGAATGCACTGCCAGATTTGTAGCTTATTGATTTAAAGGGATGCTCTCATACTTAATGCTGCTGGGCTCCCGCTCTTTATCTGAATCTCTTCTCACAGGGAAGATGGATTACACTGGCAATTCAATTTCTAACAAAATCTCAATATACTTGAAGAAATTCCAAAAGTGCTACTGGGAATACTTCAAAGCTGTTTTTCCACTGTGGTTTACAGCAAAAGATGTTCAGGCTGAGGAGAGCTGGTGATGCCTTTACCATTCAGATGGTTATGAGAGGCAGAAAAATTTCAGAGTGACAGATCAAGGATGACAAGAAGTCATCCTATTATATATTAAAGAAAAAAAAAAGTCTGTGTCCTTAGCATAGCTGTGTGGTATGCTGGCACTTAAATTCTCATGTTACATTTAACATGAAGGAATTACCTGATGAAAGGCAATAAAATACCCATGCAGAGGAACACCAGGAATTATGTTACAGAAGCAAACACGTTCTGCAGCCAACTCCCACCTTCTTGGCGATGAGTTTGACTTAAATTACCAGGCATGAGGGGTAAGAATTTTTGATTTTACATTTTACAACTTCAGAATTGCTAGTACACTGGGAATAGTACACTACCCAAAGATCAGACTATTTCTTATGGATAACTTTCCACCCTAACGAGTTTTTCTTCCTTTGGCTGTAAGTCCAAAACACACTCAGAGAAGGCAGATGCCACATTCACAAAACTCCCCAGATACTTGATAAATTAAATTCTGTCCCTGGTCCTTTTACTCATTTTAGAGCTAAAGTGGTGGGCAAAAATCAGACTTGGACTCAGTAAGAAAACAATACATCCTCATTTGCTTAAACATTCCACCTCATCTCATATTAACACTGATGATTTGAATGTATTACAGGCTCGACAAATTATCTTAGGATCCTGTCACACACTGCAACTTCCATCATAAAGGACATGCACACAGTGTTCTCTAACTTCTCATGGCAAATCATCACTACAAATTATTTGTTAATGTTTAGAATCCTGTAACAAACTCCCAAGTCCTGCAGGCTGAGCTCAGCTACCCCAAATTACCCAGATAACACTTTGCTATTATCATTAATATTATTAAAAACTCACTGCTAAGAGCAGTCTGATGTTTTCCTTTTAAATTGAGTTCTGTGGTGCCAGCAAACTGTTTGTACTGGTTCTGATATAATATGTAGGATACCACAGAGGACATATAGGAAAATGAGCATTTATTAAAAAAAATACATCTTTGCACCCTCAGGCCTGCTGTGAAGCTCTGTGGCTTTTTTTAAGCAAATTAATTTAAATTAAATCTATTACTACAGTGAAGCACAGTCCTGCAAGTATGTGAGATACCTGCATAGCTTAGAGAATTATCAGAAGAATTTTCAATCCAGTGACAGTAAATCTGAGGTTCTGTTTTTCAGCCTCTGCACTACCATTTTAGTCTTGCAGCGTTTTAGATTTCTCCTTAGTTTTTTTTCAATATAGTAAAAGCAATTGGTCTTTTTTTAAATTATTATTATTATTTTTACTCTCAAAAAAAAAGTGATGACCTCATACAAACAAAACCAGAGGCGCTCATGCACTTCTGTGTTAGCTAAGTCATGAAAAATAAGTCTCAAAACCAATGAAGTATGTAATAGTAAATCTCATTTCTGGGAAGTCATCTAGCAACAAAACAATGCCTGAAGTCATTACAATCATGACAACACTATAATAATATATATATATTTTTTTATAAAGACAAGTAATGTGCATTATACTCAACAATGAGCTGTTTACTTCATTAAAATCCATAAATATGCAGTTTCCTAGTTTTTCAAAAGATGTTAACATGAGCACTCCTGTACCCAGGAAGAATTAACTCCACTTCTGATCTAAACAACTGTCGTAACTGACCTTCTTCAAAGAGGGAATGCGATGAATAGTTATTTGCTAACTCACTTTTCGTCAGTTGGAGTAGCTCTGGCTGCTTTTTGCAAAGAAATCCATCACAGTGGAAACTGATCAGAGACAACATTATAGAAAGCTCATTCTGCACTTTCTCCGTGGTTTGAACTAACAAGAAAGAAATCTTAAAGGCAGTGGTTTTTTGTGTAAATTGTTTTGTTTCTGGACAAGCTGAGTCAGCACAGAAGAGCATCTGGATGTGGAGGTTGTTTTTTGTACCCTCATTTTTTAATGCTAGAACTGGCATTCTACTTGTGTTTTAATTCATTAAACATTAAAATAGAGAATAATTTGCAAGTGAATGTTATCTTTTAGGGTCTTCAAATAAGAATACTCACCCCTGCCATATGAAATCCTAAATACTCTATGTCAAAACCAAAAAAAAGAATGCCTTAGCAAATAGCAAAGGCCTTGAAAGTTCTTTGTATCAGCTATCATTAACAAGGTCTATTTAATACTTAAACATCATGCATAAGAAGAGGCGTTTATCCTGATCCAAAGTAAAGCAAAACTGTATAGTTATAAAATTCATTAGGAAATTACTAATGATTTCCAGAAAAGGAATTTCAGCCTGACTCTATATACATTAGGGAAGGAAGATAAACATCATCACAGAATTGCAAATCCTTGAGCAGAGGTCTTGCAGCAAGAGGGCTGGAAACATTTAAGCACTGTCTCTGTGTTTCAAGGTAACTACATAAAGCCCATTTTATCTCTCAGAAATAGTGTGCAAGTGAATGACATTCATAATTTACACTCTCTTCTAGATGAATCCAAGTTTGCAATTAAGACAAGCGTTACACAGTAAGACTGAGATAAGCAATATGGCTCACTAATGTAATATTTTAATACAAGGTTTAGTAAAAGTAACAGTTCTCACAATAAGATGACAAATCTGAGTGGAACACAGTATAAAAATGTTGTTTTTCTTAATCCCTACACATATTTGATTTTATCAAGAGAACAGAATATATGCTCTCTAAATTAATGCTGCAAAGAACTCTTAAAAAATGAAAGGAAAAAAGGTTTACAACAAGCTATTTCAAACACTCTTTTGAAGAACGTATTAAGAGATGGAGGCTAACATAAATGCTCTGTGAACACATCCATTATGTTTAAAAGTATACTTTTTTTTTTTTTTTTGTCCCTCTCAAGAGCTCTAGAGGTTATAAATGATAAGAAATAGTAATAATCCAAATGGAAATACAAACATGCTCACAGCAGATTGACTGGTGTTTAGGGAAAAGTCACTTATGAAAGACTGGGCCTCTAAGTTCAAATCCTTCAGGCAAAGCAGCCCCAAGGGTCAACAACAAAAAAAAGAGAAGTAATGTCCTCAGTCTTCTGATTTGAATTCTCAGTAGATTTGTCTGAGAAACAACTAGGAGAAAAAATCCATCCTTTTATAAATCACCCACCCCATCCTAAGCTGTAATGGTTTCTCACTCAAGAGCTATTGCCTTATTGGCAGGTTATTAGGTTTCAGACCAGTGTTGTTTGACTCGGCTTGTATTAATAATAATGCGGTTGGCGCGGTGCAGGGCAGGTCATACAGCACTGTTAACAGATGACAAGTTTGATTACCATTGGCTTTAGGCAAGACATAGGGATCCCTCAGGAACAGCAGCACAGGCTGGTGGGACAGTTTGCTGCAAAGACGAAGAACAGAGATGTCGGTACTGGAGAACAGTGAACAGAGCATTGTACAAACCAGCTTTGACAGACAGTTCGCCAGGCTGCCTAGGGCCACGCTGCATCCTGCGTGCTGCTGCTGCTGCAGGCAGGCTCCATTCACAGCCTTCCCATGGTGGGCACACTCACAGCAGCCACTTTCAGTTCTGCTCCGTTAGAATGGTGTTCTATGGGGTTTTGCAGGGAATCTCTAAATACAGGCGTTAAGGCGTGCGCAAGTGTCATCACAGATAGATGGAGCTAATGCAATTGACAGAACTAGCCATGGCGTGTAACAAATAAATCCTATTATAGTCCTAAACTACTCTTAATTTTGACAACTGTAAGGAAAATACAGCAAGTGCCCATCATTTCAAGTAGTTCATGAAAGTGACTTCGCAGAAGGAGTAAAAATAGAGCTCACCTTGATTCTTCAGACTCTGTTTCATCAAAAGAGCTGCAATTAAAGTAAAAAGAAATTTCCATTACAATAAAATTAATGAAATTACTCTATAATAAAAAACAAACCAATCAAAATCCTTCAGGAACCATCAAAAGGAGCAATCTTCCTCTGGTCTGTAGTTGCATAATGCATTGAGAGCACCAAATGTAGGAGGCCATATTATTTTACCACTGCTTGGGAATGTCAACATCCACTCTCCTCCAATGGGTTCATAACCATATCTACCTATAAAGTGACAGGGGTGCAATCCCACCTGGGGCACTGGCTGATATAAGGAACTACAAGTGAATGCTACAAGCCTGCCACTTGTCCCTGCATTACTGATATGATGACAATGCCTGATCATTATTTATGGACAATATGGATTTAGTATATATAGTTTTCTCTAGCTGTTGAGGGTAGTGTTAACATCACACTGACTGCACATGGAGCATATTCACTACTACATATCACCCTCAAAGGCACTATATGAACACATTATAATAGAATCATCCCTACAGATCTTTAACATTAGCTGTGCCATAACTGAACAGTAATTTCAGTATATAACTGCTCACCTTTAGAATGGCAAAGCAATTATTCTCTGGGAAAAATCATGGCTTACGATGTAGACCTTAACTTATCTTAATGAAAATGCCCATATAGGGAGGTAGGGAATGGTTTAAGAATCTGCTGAAAGGATTTCCTGCTGAAAACTAGCAGCAGGTTTATTCCCATTCAAAGTAACTAGAGGACCATCCCTTCCTCTCCAGTTCCATTCTGGATCTCCACATGTCACGGTGGTTTTAGTTTGGCTCCACAACTCAGCAGTGTAACTGGCTGGATCACACGTCTGCATCACACGTCTGCTTTAATGGAGACAACAAGCTCATCAGACCTCTGACCTCCATAGACCGCTCTATAGACCCAGGCTCCTCTACATCAAGAGGGCCCCACCATAACCTGTATGCTTTCCAACCCGCCCTCTCTCCACTGCAGGCACACAGAATATTCCCTGAAGAGGAAAAGGGACAACTCCACAATGCTGCTGGAAGTTTCAACCGCGCCAGGTTTGGAAATGCTTCTCCATACAAACCCACAGATGATAACACAACTTCTGGTCATGCTGATTTTGGAATTTCTCTACACTCACCATGATCATAACACGAGACTCTTTTCAACCCCAGGAACAGACCCTTACCAGAAGAGGGCAGTGGGGCTATTGGGGTCAAAGGAGAAGTGAAAGACCCCTTTTCAAACCCAGAGAGGGTGAATGCAGAAGTGATCACAGAATGAATTTCTACTTTGACCAAATATTAACCATAAAACACACATGAACAAGTGCTTTCTATGCAGGAAGTATTTATGAATATCTTTTAAAATTCACCTGATACTTTAAGAACTATGAGAAAAGCCTATTTTATCTCTTCTTTATTTTCCAAGAATAGTACTTTATACTTTGCTTCTGCCTTTAAAGAAGCTGGATTTATTTTACCACATTTTGAGGATATATAAACACATTTAAGTGAACCTAATGCCCATTTATTTTACAGCTTTAAGATTTGGCAGCAAGGCCATTTTAAGTCAATGAAATTGCATCAGCACTGAGTGGATATGGGCTTTCTGGCCTCCATTTATTTTTCAGTAGATGAGAGCTTACCCACAGCTTTCTGCTTTTGGCAGGGAAGGTACATGTCGAACATTCAGGAAATCGAGAAATATTTTAGGAAGCTCTTCATTTTCTAAAATGACTGTCTGTAATAAACAAAAAAAAAAAAGGGGGGACAACAGAAAATCAAGAGTTTTTTTACATGTTAAATATTAAGCTCTTCTGTTCAAGCTACCAAAACATTCCTGTTAGTAACACCATTAGTTTTTGTCTTTTTATTTCTACATTGGTGAAAAACAGAAGTCTCAGCTTTTTAGAATTTTATTAATGCACATCTTAGGAAATGCTAATTTCAGCTCTTTGCTTGGCTTAGCAGATCAGCATACAGTGTGCTGCTCCATCCACGCCGTGGTTCCTGAAGATGGAGCTCTGACCAGAGGCCTGCTGGCCAGACCTGACACATTCTTCCCCAGCACCGACATGATAGCTGGGAGCACTGCAGCCTCCTTTGGTTTTCTGCAGGTAAGATGATTTACAATTTTAAATAAATAAATCAGAAGTACACTTAAAAACACATGGCAAATAAATGAAATGCTTACATGTACATTCATCATGTAAGAATAATTTTCAGTGAAAACAACAGAGCTCTGTCAGTTTCGTAGAGGCAGGCTGAAAAGCAGCAGCTGCTTTTCACAAGGCAAACAAAACAGTCCATACACATAAGCAGATGTTCGAGTACAGCACTTAACATACAAGTAAAACCATGAGCTCATCCCAAAGTTCTTTGGTCTAGAACAAACATACACACAGAAGAAACCTTTCTAGAATTATAAATAAATGGTTATATACAAGTGGCTGCACAAGCAAAGCTATTCCTGTTCTTTATGTTCGTGTTCACATTCTCTATCAGAAGAAACAAATCTAAAGAAGAAATACCATCAGTGGTAGGAGGGGATGTTACTTTGCCTATAGGCAGATAACTTCTTCCCACGTGTGTATTCCAATGTTGTACTATCACTAGGAGAGTGCAACAGCACATAGAGGATAACAGGCTTACAAAGAAATGAGGCTGGTAAAGACTTGTAGAGGTCATCCACTGCAGGCTCAAAGCACTTTGTGCTGAAGTTTCATAACAGACATTTTGGTTATCTGTGTAAGGAAAACCTTGCTCATGTAAACATTACACACAGTGTGCAGAGATCTAAAGAGAAGCATTTGGAAACAAAGCTATTTGATAAATGGTTCTTTTTTCATGTTTCATTTGCAGATATGAATTTAGAATCTACACTTCTTCCACAGCTGACACCATCGCTAACAAGTTAAATGAACAGCAGGGAAAAATGCTATCTTCTGTTCTAGACTGTAACAGATCTAACAACTTTTACAGAAGAAACAGAAAGATCTGAGTAGTTGGCAGGTTTTAAGCCTTTCAATTCACCTCTGTATGAAGATGCTGCATTAAAAATGCCACTTCATTTGCATTCTGTAAAATCAGCACTCCGCTGCTGCAAAATTTATCTTGTTCTGCAGTTGGGTTATGCACAGAAGGAGGAGTGGAGATGGATACATATTCAGTGGGTGTGTGAACTGCATAACAATGTTCATGACATGCTCAAATAAAACCATCTCATTAATTATATTAAAATGGACAGCTATAAAAAGTTGTTTAAAGATGCTTAAGGGCACCCAACGCTTGTGTGCAACCTCATACCTGCACCTCCTGGCAGCTTTGTCCCAAAGAAAAGTTGCCTGCTGAGGCTGCTGCACAGAGCAGTGATTGCCAGGAAAGAAAAGGAAAATATGTTGTTGTATAAAAGGAAAGCACTTGCAGCTGTTACGAACCTATTTGCTGCTGCTCCTGCTCACTCCGGATGATGAATATTGCATTCTATTTCCTTCCATTTCTTTTTCATGGTATGCATCATGTCTACTCAACCCCTGATAACATGCCGTGACCAAATGTAGTTCACACACACACACACAAAAGCTTTTCTTTTAGTGTCCTACTAAAAACAGATCAGTAACTTTACTTTCCAATAAGCTCTTCAATAAACTTCAGGAAGCAGAACTTGCAGGGAAGCAAAGGCAGTTTTACATTGTATTCTGGATGCCACCTCTGCTGATAGGGAATTTTGCCATTTCCAGAATTGTATGACTACATTGAAAACAAAACAAAACAAAACAGAGGATTTTCCAATTAATTTAATGTGACATTGTTTTAAGAATTTACAAAATAAAGTACAAGTGGATTATACTAAAACGTAGGTAATAATATACTGGCTTGACTGGCTTCAGTGCAAAAAAGGGCCAGCACATGATCCAGCTGTTTAATACACATGAATGGAACTGACCTGCTGTACAGATATACTTTTAGAACAAAACTTGGGAAGAACAGAAAAACAGCCATACTGAATTAAGGACATCTTTCCAGCCTCATTTTCTCTCTCTGGTGATAGCCCGAAGCATCCAGAGAAAAGACTAGATGTTCTCAATTTTGCATTTAAGTTCTTCAAACATACTGTTAAATCAGAGATAAGTGCTTTTGTAATTGGTTTAATGCATTTCCAACATTCCCTCAATAGATTTTTGACTTCTGACTGAAAACTTTAATACGATTTTACAGACTTGGTCATCTGTAAGGAAGAGCTGAGCAGGCGAAACCTCTGAACCACAGTCTGTAATTTGTGAGGTAAGGTGCTCAAAAGTCACCTTCATTCAAGTGAATATTTGACATTCTCAACACAACTACACCTTGCTTGTTCTGCAACCGGAAACAATGATAATAAAACTTCACAATTAGTTTATCGGTAATGTGGTTTTCTAGTACATCTGAATTCTATAAACATAACAGTAATGAATTTCAAATATGGGTCTCAGTATGTTAAGTGGACTAATTAAAGACAAAAAACAGAACACGTAATTCTTCACTAAAAAAATGACCCTGTTGAGCTAAAACACCCATCACAAACAATCTCTGGCAAATTTGAGAAGTGACTCCAAACTTACATTTTTCAAACTCATTGATCTCAGCTGAACCAAGAGTATAAATGCTGTATTTTCTTAGGAAATCATAAAGGGTATTTACCCATTACTGTCATACCTTAATAAACTACTCCATCCTTCAGAAAAAAAACCCAAAGCAACAAGAAAAAACAAAAGCTCCCCCACCACACGCACAAAGGAAAGCCTGAGCAGAAATGACTCTTTTTTTGGTTATCAAAAGGATGTAATTATTATTATGTAGCATAAATCACAAAAATCCCAATTTTTCTACCTTATCAGTTTCATAAAATCACGTTCCCTAAGGACGCCATTGATCGGTTGCACATGTTCTCTCAGTGACATCCAAAATACTTAATTGTCGGTCATCTTTTCTCCTTCAGCAAGTAAAATATAGTCACAAAATTGCAAAGGGATTTGTTCTGCCTTAACCTTAGCTAGATGCCATCATGCAGTGGAAAACAGTGCTAAAATATCACAGGATAATGCTCTCCAACAGGGGAGACATATAAACAGCATAATGATTTCCCACGAGTTTCCTTTTTAGAAAATTGTCACTAAAGCCAGGGTAAGTGGTGACATATCTTCACAGAGGACACTGTGAAATCGAACACTGGCATTCTAGTTAGGTCCAAACCTACTCATCAGCCAATTATAACAATGACTGAACAGCCTGCTGAAAACCCGAGCAAGACCACTTTGCTAACCTTAGGAGATCATAACTCAGAATGTATTGTTTTCACAGATTTTTTTTGTAATTATTTTTCTTTTTAAATGAAAAAGAATTAAAAATAATTTCTTACAGTTACCCATCACTCCTTCTCAAGGTTGCTGGAACAGCCATTAGAGAGAGAGAAATGAGTGCGGGGGGCAGAGTTTTAGGGTTTTTAAGAGTCCTAACAGGCTTTTCCCTTCAATCGGGTTTAGTTTGAAATGCTGTGCTGTTAGGGTGAAAAAGTTCATGACAGTTTTTCCTCTCTTCACAGGGAAAGATGCTTCACAATACCTAATTCAGTGGTGCAGCTAAAAAGGGGGAGAAGAAAATCAATACATTCCAGCTACAGTAAGTAGGCTGGAGTGTCAGTCTCCACTGGGACCAAAACCCACATCTTTTACAGCACTTTAGTCTACATTCTTCTATTAACCTGCTTTTCCTGAACTGCTTTGCACAGTCCCATGAAATGATAAAAAGGTTACCAAAAGAACTTATTAACTAAAAAACAAGTAGAGAGAGGAACCAGACTTCTAAGAGCAAATGCTCCCCTTTCTGAATAGCAGATAGAACAGTGCTTTGTGCTACCCATTATGAAGAACTGTGAAGAAGCTCACCCCTTTCTGCACTGAGAATGTGATTGTATGCCATTGGAAAGGGGGAACTACATCTATCAGAAAGATTTGTTTCTAAATACAACACCTACTTTGTCACATTAAGGAATCACCACTTTTCATCACCACTGAAACATTCACTCATGGGCAGTTTCTCAATAAGAGAAGGTACCAACCATGTTTAAGGTCTCTACAGATACCATATGTGCAACAACACAGAAGTGACACTCAATACAAAGTACCTGCCAGCCAGTGCTCAAAGACTACCTAACAAAAGGCATCCAGAAGGAGGGGTGTGCCATTTGTACAGCAGAGCTTGAAAGGGAAGATAGCCTGGACTGTAGGTATTACAGGACACACAGATCCAAAAGACAGTTAAACTGGAAGTTAAACTCTCTGAGCCTCTAGACTAGAGAATAGTAAAAAATTCCTACACCAGCTTTCCAATCACTTTTTTTTATTCTTCTGATTAAATCAACACTCAGATACATCTCTTGAGCCACAAAACCATCAAGCCATCTATCACAGCATCCTCACACTAACCAGGATAAATGAACTAGATAGCAGCGACAGGTTAAACTGGAACATCACTGAGGATACATGTGCAGAAAGTTTCTCAACAGCCTACAGCCTATTAACATTTTCACTTTTGCCCTACCTGATCTCCCAAGCTGGATGTGGCTTTGGGCAGCCTGGTGTGGTGGTTGGTGATCCTGCACATAGCAGGGGGGTTGAAACTAGATTGTCATTGTGGTCCTTTTCAACCCAGGCCATTCTGTGATTCTATGATTCTAATTTTAACACACTGTAGTTGTTTTGA